AACATCACCAGCAATGGGACAAATCGCCACATGCGCCACCTGCTACAATGCATGGAGGACAGGTCATGGCTTTCGTGGTTCTCCTGACAAACATACACAACCTGAATCTAATTATTAGCAAACATTACAGAAATCCAAATTGAGAAAGATTCTAAAAAATTATGGGACTAAACTCTTCAAAAATGTCAATGTCATGAAAGATGAGGGAAGAGGAAAGAACTATTCCAGACTAAAGTGGTTGTTTCCTTGAAAAGACTGATGAAACTGATAAACTCCCAGCAAGTTTCATCAAGTAAAAACAAATATGGACAAATGTGCTGTATCAGGAATGAATAAAGAGTGCATCACTACAGAACCTAGAGAAATCAGAATAAGATATTATGAAAAGTTTCGTGCCGATAAATCTGACAACTTAGATGAAACAGACAAATTCTGAAAGCACAGCTTTCTAAAACAGACACAGACAAAAAAAAAATTTTAATGTGAAAATTCTCTATTAAATAAATTGAATATCTATTAAAAAATATCCCACAGAGAAAACTCCACACCCAGGTGTAAATTATCCTAAATATTTAAGAAAGAAATGACACCAACTTTATATAGTTTCTTCCAGAGTGTAACAAAAGATATAACAGTTGCTAAATCATTTTGATAAGGGCAGTACATCCTTGATACCTTCTTACTAAATTACTGTAAGATATGTGATAGTTAATAATTTATTAACAACTCTCTAAAACATGCCAGAAACCATTCAGTGCAGCTCCAGGAAGTTCCTCTCATCTTTTTTCTACCCTAATTGTGAGGACATTTTTATTATTATTGAATAAAATCTTCATTTGGATTGCTTCCTTCCGTAAATCTTACTTCTACCTTAAATGTGTGACTTTTGGGTCAGGCAGTTTAAATTAGGCACACTTCAATGTAGTTTAAAAGAAAACAAGTTTTGTCCTTTTTGGACAGGAGGGTCAGGTAACGTCCAGAAATCAGACCATACACGTCGTTACTCAACCTCCAAACTTTACACCATCACCAATCCCTTAACTCTTAGTGTATCCATTTAAGGTAAGAAATAAGCTCATGGTGTCTGTTCTACACATTACTTGAGAAAGATGCAGTAGAACTAAAGAAAAGAAGAAAGAGTTTCCCAAGTAACGATGAAACTCTTGGCTGTGTTACATTTTACATTTCGCAAAACTTTTTTTTTCCGTTTATTTTTATTAGTTGGAGAAAAATTACTTCACAATATTGTAGTGGTTTTTGTCATACATTGATTGACATGAATCAGCCATGGATTTACATGTATTCCCCATCCTGATCCCCCCACCACCTCCCTCTCCACCCGATCCCTCTGGGTCTTCCCAGTGCACCAGGCCCGAGCACTTGTCTCATGCATCCAACCTGGGCTGGTGATCTGTTTCACCCTAGATAATATACATGTTTCAATGCTGTTCTCTTGAAACATCCCACCCTCGCCTTCTCCCAGAGTCCACAAGTCTGTTCTATACATCTGAGTCTCTTTTTCTGTTTTGCATATAGGGTTATCGTTACCATCTTTCTAAATTCCATATATATGTGTTAGTATACTGTAATGGTCTTTATCTTTCTGGCTTACTTCACTCTGTATAATGGGCTCCAGTTTCATCCATCTCATTAGAACTGATTCAAATGAATTCTTTTTAATGGCTGAGTAATATTCCATGGTGTATATGTACCACAGCTTCCTCATCCATTCGTCTGCTGATGGGCATCTAGGTTGCTTCCATGTCCTGGCTATTATAAACAGTGCTGCGATGAACATTGGGGTGCACGTGTCTCTTTCAGATCTGGTTTCCTTGGTGTGTATGCCCAGAAGTGGGATTGCTGGGTCATATGGCAGTTCTATTTCCAGCTTTTTAAGAAATCTCCACACTGTTTTCCATAGTGGCTGTACTAGTTTGCATTCCCACCAACAGTGTAAGAGGGTTCCCTTTTCTCCACACCCTCTCCAGCATTTATTGCTTGTAGACTTTTGGATAGCAGCCATCCTGACTGGCGTGTAATGGTACCTCATTGTGGTTTTGATTTGCATTTCTCTGATAATGAGTGATGTTGAGCATCTTTTCATGTGTTTGTTAGCCATCTGTATGTCTTCCTTGGAGAAATGTCTGTTTAGTTCTTTGGCCCATTTTTTGATTGGGTCATTTATTTTTCTGGAGTTGAGCTGGAGGAGTTGCTTGTATATTTTTGAGATTAATCCTTTGTCTGTTGCTTCATTTGCTATTATTTTCTCCCAATCTGAGGGCTGTCTTTTCACCTTGCTTATAGTTTCCTTTGTTGTGCAAAAGCTTTTAGTTTAATTAGTTCCCATTTGTTTATTTTTGCTTTTATTTCCAATATTCTGGGAGGTGGGTCATAGAGGATCCTGCTGTGATTTATGTCTGAGAGCGTGCAAAACACTTTTTTGTTTCATTTGTTGTAGAAGAATCCTGGGAAGGAAAAAAGGCCGTTACTATTCCCATTTTACATGGAAGAAAGCTGAACTCGGAAAGGATTAAATATTAGCACAGAGTCACACAGGCAGTGAATGATAAGGTGGGTTTTGAACTCGATGCTTCTGATCCCTAGTTTTACACACTTTCCACAACACTACACAGCCCGCAAACAGCCAAGTAATGAGTAACGCATATGGAAAAGCTTTAACTATCTAGGGTTATACAATACAGAAAGATGAAAGTTAAAGACGGATAGAAGGAGAGAAGGCTAAGAAAAATTATTACCTCTTGCTGACTGCATGACTAATAGCCACCTTCTTCATGTGTCCTCCACACAGGCAAAATATAGGCTACTTATATATCAAAATGTAAGCATATAAGGACCCTCAGCCTACAAAAGATCTCTCCCACCAGTCTGAAATTTGCTCCCTTATAATGATAACATTGGAAAGCACTATCTTTCCTGCTGCCTAATATTTCTCCTATAGTTCTGCCTTCTTGGATCACCATATACTCAGCTACAAAACTAGATGAGATGATCTTCAACCACTTCCTCTCTTGCTCTCTACACCAAACTTTAAACAGATGTCAACTCTCTTTCATTCATTCACTCAACAAGGGTCTAAAAGAAAGCCATCCGATGTACTTACTGACACACCACTCCGCATCATGAGTTGAGCTTTATTTGTGCATCTATCTCAATAGATTCAGAGAAACCCCTGGGCAGGCCCATATCTTATACATCTCTGCATTCCTAGAACCCAGCACCACCCAGAGCAAATAAAAAGTGATCAGAAAATATTGATATCTGAAAGAAAAGAAGGAGAGAACTCATGTCCCTTCTCCATGCTAGAGCTATCTACTGATTTTTCCCTGGACCTCTACTCCTGGCTCCAGGTTTTCCCCTTCTCCCATCCTATTTATCGCCTGCATTAGAAGTATGTCTATAAAACACAGATATGAACTCTGTAAATATATCTTACCTCTGCTGGAAAAAATCTTTAAATTCCTTAGTGTTGTTCCAATTCACACCTTCTACCTGCAGGCAGGGTACAAGCACCCTCTAAAAGAGAACTGGCTCTGACATCAGCCCCACCCTCCCGGCTGCCTTCTCCACTGTGCCACTCACTGAGGCTGTGCCGAAGGCAGGTCTGGCCCTTTGACCTTTGAATGGCGGCCTTCTGATGCTGCAGCTCTGAGCCTGTTCCTGCCTTCTGCCCGAGAAGTGCTCTGTGGACCCTCTGCACCCCTTACCTAGGGGTAGGTCCTCATACAGCCCTGATATCCAGACCCCTTCACCAGACCCAGGCTCTCAGGGTCCACTTTCCCAGGAGAAGCATGTGGGTAAGAACAGCACATTAGACTCATAATCTGGCTGCAGGCCAGCCTCCTGTCTCAGCCTCATACAATCTATATTTCAGTCACCTGAGAATACTTACCACTCCTCCCCTGTACTATGTTCTTAAACATATGCTCTTCCTGCTGCCTTAAATGGCTCATTTCATCCTTCCCACACACTCATCTCCCTGTAAAACTCCTCATCTGTCAAGGCCCAGTTCGAACAGCATCTTCTCTCTCTCTCTCAGACCCAGTCTGCATTAAATATGGATTTGGGGTCATGTCCTACTCTAACACCAACTTCATTTTACTCTGACAGTGGTATAAGTTTGTCTCTGCCTACAGACCAAGAGCTCCAGGAAGACAGGGACTCTGTCTTGTTTACTGTTATATACCTAAAGATAAACTCCATGAATTAAAAGCAGGGACTGTGCCACTGTAGAATAAATAAAGCTGATAAGCATTAACAAACTGTCTTCTCATAAATGAATAATAGAGATGGCTTCCATTACACACTTGAATATCAGTACCTACTATCTCTGCTATTATCAACCTGAGGGTGTACACTGATTGATTCATTCATTCATTCATTTGCTAAATTCCTAATATTGCAGCACAACTGGGTTAGATGCTGGGGACACAGAGGTAAGTAAAACATAGACCCTGTCTTTGGGGAGCTCAGATTCTTCTAGACTTAATTATCAAATAATGTAAAAGTGCATTAATAGACATAGGCTTAAGGTTAATATAGTCTTTAAAAACATACTATTCTTTTAAAGCAATATGAAGTTCACACACTTGTCATAAATGTTATTTAATGGCTGGTAAAACTGTAGAAATTTGGAAATGGTTCCATCACCAGCCATTTCATTCTCTGGGTGACTTTGGTTGACAGCAAGATCAAGAAAGCTTTTAAACAATACTTCTTTCAAGCTGAAAATGTGAATGAGCTTCTACCTGAAAGAAATGATGAATCCTTTTCCTAAAACAGAGATAATTGTTAGCAATTTCAGAAGGTGAACTAGTAAAGGATTCATTCTCACATCATTCTCATCTGTCTGATGGAGATGGAAGGTTTATATAGGCTTGACTAGTCCCCATGGCAACAGCCTTTCTCCTGGGTTACCATAGGAATTGTGAAGGCCTTTATAAACCTCCATTAGCAGAGCCTAGGCCGGCAGCAGTCAGAAACGTCTGCAGAGGAAGACACTGCAAAGTGTCAGTGAGGGCATCTGGGAATTAATTTTACCCTAGAGCAGCTGAGCAGGTCTGTTTAGCTCCTACCTCTACAGCTACAAACACAAGATAACACTAGAATCGGTCTGATGCCTTGAACATTTCACACGAAGGGGTTTTCAAAATACAGCCACAGACAGACATGACCATGTTTCAACAGATTTTGAGAGACTAGAAGGAGTCTATTCTTACAAAGCCTCATACAGAAAAGGGAACATTCACATTTTTTCTTTTTCTTTCAGGAGAGGGCATTAAAACCATAATGATGGTTATATATATCACAATGTGAATGTTCTTAATACCACTGAACTGTACACTTAAAAATTGCTAAGATGGTAAATTTTGTTACGTGTATTTTACCAAAATTAAAAATCTAAAAACTGACATAGTTATAATTATGACATCACCAATACTGAGCACCTGCTATATCACAGACACTAATGCTAGGCACTTCAGGTGATCTGCATCACACCATCCCACAAACCTGTGAGTAATTATCCCTCCATGGAAAATCATTATTATCCTTACATCGAAGATGAGGACACTGAGGTTTAGAGAAATAAAGTAAGTTGCTCCAGGGCACACAACTAGTAAGTGGTAGAGACAGCAATCAATCAAGTACAAGTCTCTCTGACATTGGAATCTTGGTCCTCAACTACACAACTTCCACAACAATGTCGCACTCTACAGCAGCTCACGGGTATGGTAAAGAAACATTCTGTTGAACTGATACATGAAAGCTCTTACTGAATTCTGTTTAAATGTTTTTTGTTTTCATTTTTAAGACAAAAAGGACAGTCTCAGAGAGTATGATTGCACTGGGAGTTTTGATTCTAACCTCTGACTTTCTTTACAATAATCATATATTTTTAGCAAACTAAAGTATTTCCATTTTAAAAAGTTGCATTGTGTAAAGATTAATAACTCCTAGCACTTTCAAATAGCAATCTCTCTATATTTTTTTAAAACCACTAAAATTTACAGGAGAATTGCACATATGGAAAAATTGTTTACTAAATAAACTGGAGAATTGCAAATAGTTTTCAGGCACTGGCGAGCTCTTTCTCATCAGGGCAAATAAACTGACCATGTTTCATGCTTGAAAATGTAGAATGCATGTGATAGTAATCTCCTCTTTGGGCTTTGGTCAAGCCATATGGATGAAATATGAAAAAACAAAAAAGAATACGAATAAAAAATAATGTGAAAAAAACCTTTTCTGGGAAGAAAGGCATTCTAAATCCCTAGGGAATTTCCTCAGTAGCAAAAGGAAGGTATTAGGAGTCAGTTTGTTAAAAATAAACCTTTGGGCTATGCCACCAGAGGAGGTGCATCCCCCTTTGAGGTTTCTTCTACATGATGGTCAGAGCTGTGAGGGACACTAAGCAGGACTGTTCCACCGAGAGTCAAAACTCTGGGTCCCAGCCCCTGAAGTTCTCAATGTTCAAATAGGTAAACGGGAGAAGGAATTACTTTTTTTTTCTCTTCAAAAGCTTTAGTGGAAAAGAAGATACTAATTAGCAAGCAATGAAAATATGCCAAATTGCATCTACTTTATTTTTTGCTTTTGAAGTAGTTTCTTAAATATCTGGTGGTGTTTCTCTTTAGCTGCTTTGGTAATTTTTTGTTTTAAAAAGTAAAATTGAGAGAAAATGAGAAGTTAATTCATACAGAGTTTCAGTTTTGAGAGATAAAAACATCTGGAGATCTGTTATACAACAATGTGAATGAACTTAATACTACTGAACTATATGCTTAAAAATGGTTATGATGGTAAATTTTAGGTTATGTGGTTCACCACTCTTTTTAAAAGGTAAAATTGATGACATCTGTCTTAACTCAGGCTGCTATAACGAAATACTATTGACTAAGTGGGTTATGCAACAGACATTTCTCTCTCCTAGTGCTGGAGGCTAGGGGTTCCAAGATCAAGGTGCGGGCAGATTCCGTTCCTGTAAGATCCCTCTTCCTGTCTTGCAGATGGCTGCCTTCACACTGTGTCATCATCAGTCAGACAGAGTGAGCTCTGGTCTCTTCCTCTTCCTATAAAGGTACTAATCTCATTATGAAGGCCCCATCCTCAAGAACTCATCTAAATCTAATTACTTCCTGTAGCCAGCATCCAGGAAGAGTGCTCTGGGCATTCTTGACCCCTTAACAGACAAAATCCAGAATGCTCTTGCTTTGCCCTCATGTTAACGTCACTTCCAGTCCTGCTTCTGCATTAATTCATCCTCTGACCTCTTGCTTTGGACAAAAGTGTCCAAAGTGTCCATCACAATGATAATGGACACGATTTCTTTGATTTTGACCCTTAACTCTTCTCCTGGGTCCTCATGATGAACTTGTCCTCAGGTTAGATCTACTTTTGACCACTCTATCATCTGGAACCAGACCTCTAAATCTTACCCTACATAATGACCCACCCTGGCTCATCTCAAAAGTGGGATGCATTGGACATGACCCCAAAGGCATCATCAACACACTGGACAAAATATTAAGAAATGACAAGCCAAATTTTCTCAAGAATATATTTAAACTCTGCTCTTTGACTCACTATATTGATTGTTTCAATCTGAGAGTAGAGAAGATGTGGTTTGACAGCAATTCATATGACATAGACTTTGGGCTTTTATTGACCATCACTGACAAATCCAATATTAATCAACATCATTCAACAGTGTAAGAAGGTCACTAAGATTACTAATATGATGTTAGATATATCAGAAAGTCAACAAAGGTTTTTAGTGAAGGAACTATAAGGACTATAAGTAATAACAAGAATTTGCTGGCCATCCAATCTCTGTCACAATTACTTATCTGTTGTCTATCCAAAGCAACCAGAAATAGTGTGTAAAAAGAATGGGTGTTCCTGTTTTCCAATAAAACTTTAATTACAAATGGCAGAATTTCCTTCTTTTTTATGGACAGAAGTAGGATATTAAGAGACACAAGCTACTAGTATAAAATAAACAAAAAGAATATATTGTTCAGCACACGAAAATGTAGCTATTATTTTGTGATCATTTTAACTGGCATATAATAAAAATATTGAATCACTATGTTGCATACCTGAAACTAATATTGTAAACTGACTATACTTCAATTAAAAAAAACTTTATTTATACAAACTGGGTCAGTTTGCCAACTCCTGGGCTACAAAATACCAAGCCATCATCAAGTACTTGACATTCTCACAGTACCCTGTAGGCGTCAAGCCATGAGCCAATTCTTGTGCAAAGAGTCAGACATGACTGAGCGACTGAACTGAACTGAGGCTATTTTTGGGCTCTAAAAGTTTAATTGTTCAGTTGCTAAGTCATGTCCAACTCTTTGAGACCCCATGGACTACAGCACGCCAGGCTTCCCTGTTCTTCACTATCTCCCCGAGTTTGCTCAAACTCATATCCATTGAGTCGATGATGCCATCCAACCATCTCATCCTCTGTTACCCGCTTTTCCTCATGCCCTCAATCTTTCCTACCATCAGGGTCTTTTCAAATGAGTCAGTTCTTCGCATCAGGTGGCCAAAGTATTGGAGTTTCAGCTTCAGCACCAGCCCTTCCAATGAATATTCAAGGTTGATTTCCTTTAGGATTGACTGGTTTGATCTCCTTGCTGTCCAAGGGACTCTCAAAGTCTTCTCCAGCACTACAGTTTGAAAGCATCAATTCTTTGGCACTCAGCCTTCTTTATGGTCCAACTCTCACATCTGTACATGACTACTGGAAAGACCATAGCTTTGACTATACAGACCTTTGCCAGTAAAGTGATGTTTCTACTTTTTAATACACTGTCTAGTTTTGTCAAAGAGTAAAAAACAGTCATTCCTATTGGCCAGTACTGGTTTATTAGTTCATTAACCTCAAGCATAACTAGGAATCTATTTGGTTGGCCAAAAAGTTTGTTTGGGTTTTTCTGTAAGATCTTATGGAAAAACCCAAATGAACCAGAAGTACTAATATTCCATTTGAACAGCTCCAACTGGTTCCCAAGGAGAATATGGCTCACTTTGTCAGAGCCTTACTGAAATCAGAGTCCCCAAGACTATCACATCCCTCTGCCAATCTAAGAAGAGAGAGGTCAGAGCATGGTATGTTAATCCTAGTGAACTCACACAACTCCTGAGGACCACCAATTCCTTTAAAATGTTTACCAGATGATCTTTTAATGGACTGTTCTAGCTTCTTAGCTGCAAGATGGCACATCTATGGGGAAAGGTCACAAACTGGTGGCCTGGTGGCCCTATCTGTCTACAGATCTCTTTCATTTAGCCCATATATTTTAAAAATCTATTTAAATAGTTATTCTCATCTGACAAATAATAAGAGTTAAAATAAAAATATTAAAGTTCTAGGACTTCTGGGAATGACAACAGCCAACTGGAGCTTAAGAAGAGATGCCCTTTGAAGAGGGAGCCTGCCCTTTCCCAATCACTAGTTTCCAACTGCCTACTTGACTCTTCGTAGTTATTTTCTGGTTTCCATAAACATTTAGGTTTACAGTCTCTCTACATAACCCACTTTCCCCCTTTTAGAGAATCATGACTATAATTAGCTAATTTCAGTCCTCTGACACACATCCCCCATTTTTCACAGCTCCTCCAAGATTACCAAGAGTGGCCCAATAATCTCATTTGCAAGGTCTCACAGTACCCTAGAATACAATGTTCCTGGGTAGGAGGCTAGAAGCTTTATGCTCACTCACAGTCTCTTCACCAGTTTGGCCTTCAATGATCTTTTTTGTGCCCCTGTTTGTTTGACCCTTTCCATTCATAACGTCATTCTCCTTGGCAAAGTGAATGAAGGCCAAGAGCTTTTGAACAGCTTTGAAAAAATTTACCCAAGGCATTTGCTTTTGCCTTTTTTTTTTTTTAACTCTTTGGTTTGCTCCAAACAGAATTTTGTCCTGAGCATTGTTCACAAGTCACAGTTCATTCTGAGTTTTTGCTTTTGTGACATCATTTGCACAAATCTTCAGCAACTTCTGTATTCATTCTTTGCTTCCAGTCGTGTCCTTTGAAGATCTGAACTCACACAGAGAGTTGCTGTGAAGCCAGAAGATTCTTTCTATTCAAGGACCATGCTGTTTCTTCTTTATCAGGATTGTGTGTAATTTCATGGACAAAATGTACACACAGGGATCTTACCAACTCACATGAGACATCTAACACTTACGATTTCCAGCTAGCCAAATCTTTTCTCTAGATTTCACTATTCCTCTTGGCTAACACAAGTTCTTTCTCTCAATTTTCTCCCTTTTCTGATCACAGTTAAATACAAAAGAGGGTCTCATCCCTTTATCGACCTGTTGGGAGGGAAAAAATTGTGGGACAAGTAAGGATTTATAAGAAGCTGTGTAGAATCTGAAATTGGCTTAACTCTGACACCCTCTGGTTTCTTTTTTTTTTAATTTTTTATTGAAGGATAATTGCTTTATAGAATTTTGCTGTTTCCTGTCAAACCTCAAAAAGAATCAGCCATAGGCATACATGTATCCCCTCCCCTTTGAACCTCCCTCCCATCTCCCTCCCCATCCCACCCCTCTAGGTTGATACAGAGCTCCTGTTTGAGTTTCCTGAGCCATACAACAAATTCCTGTTAGCTATCTGTTTTACATACGGTAATTAAGTTTCCATGTTACTCTTCCCATACATCTCACCCTCTTCTCCCCTCTCCCTGTGTCCATAAGTCTATTCTCTACATCTGTTTCTCCATTGTTGCCCTGTAAATAAATTCTTCAGTACCATTTTTCTAGATTCTGTATATATGTGTTAGAATATGATATTTATCTTTCTCTTTTTGACTCACTTCATTCTGTATAATAGGTTCTAGGTTAATCCATTTCATTAGAACTGACTCAAGTGTGTTCTTTTTATGGCTGAGTAATATTCCATTTTGCACATGTACCACAAATTCTTTATCCATTCATCTGTCAGTGGACATCTATGTTGCTTCCATGTTTTAGCTATTGTAAATAGTGCTGCAATGAACAATGGGAACAATGGGAATGGTGTATCTTTTTCAAATTTGGTTCTCTCAGGGTGTATGCCTAGGAGTGGGATTGCTGGGTCATATGGTGGTTTTATTCCTAGTTTTTTAAGGAATCTCCATACCATCTTTCATAGTGGCTGTATCAATTTACATTCCCATCAACAGTGTGTTTCTTGTATTTTTTGATAATAGTCATTGTGACAGGTGTACGGTGGTATCTCAGTGTGAGTTTGATTTCCATTTTCATGATTATGTGTGATATTGAGCATCCTTTCATGCATCTGTTGGCCATCTGTATGTCTTTTTTGGAAAAAAATATATATTCAGGTTCTCTGCTCTTTTT